GGTATCGCGCCAATCTGCATATGATTAAAACGTGATACGAGTAATCTTGTTAATGTTTTAAAAGTCAATTATTTAAAGAAACTTTATTACGGGGCTGTCAACTTCGAATTCCAAACTATATACGGAGGATAACAGAAGTGCAATGGCACTGATTTCAGTTCATGCTCAGATCATCCTGATACGCTAATGTGATGTGCAAGAAACATGAATCTCGTTACGACACAAAAATTAACTGCCACTGAGGAGAAGGAAGTGTAATCTGGACTTTCATGATCCTAATCACCTTAATCACCTTATCAGCATGTCCTCCTACTCTTGCCAAGGGAGTGTAGGCCAAACCGAATCTTACTGTACAGAGAAATGTCTATCACCTGGCGTAGTATGCCAAGAATAGAGAAGTCCAAGGTAGCTACAATGTTGACAGTAAAACCTAGAGTAACAATCTGCATTCCGGTCCTGCAAATGAACACCGATTTTGAAAGGAACGCTAAAGCCATCAACCGATATTTTGGAAAGTTAATCTAAAGGAACCATAAGATGCAAAACATTTTCCTAAATAGAACGGGAACACTGCTGTTTAGAGATGAAAAAAACTTTAAGCCTTTGATAACTACTTAAAAGACTTTGACTGAAATTGGAGGCATTGTGCTGCAATGATGAGTTCAAGCATTAGAAGGATAAAAGCGTTGGCTGAAAATCACAAATGAAAGACTGAAACACTGGCTCTTCGAAAAAAAATCCAAGGCTCAACTTATTATTCGAAGTGTAGTGTTTCATATACCTTTTACTAATGCTTCAGCAAATAACTTGTGCTTCGAAATTGGTCATGCTCAGCAATGTATAAACTCTGATCTCCAACATTCCCGCTGCCGACCTTATTTCTTCCTCCGTCCCGGCGATGCTGCACACATAATCCCCTAACATGATTGCGGTGTAGTAAGTCGACATACTCTGGGTGCGATCAAAGGTAATTTCCACATAGTTGTGTCCACACAACTACTGTTCTCGTACTACGATTGGCCTGATTACATAAGGGCATTCATCATGCCTTATCGTATGTACGGGGTACACTGATAGGGGCTATGCTAGTTCAGATTACACTTCCTTCACCCAGGACGCAGATAACGTGCGTTTTGACAAGAAATTCCTGTTCCCTAACGCCTCTCGTCTGAGAGAAAGATGTAATCCATTAGCTGAGAATTATATCCACATCCTTTCGGACATTGTCTACGACGCTCAACTTTGGGTGGTCTTTATGTAAACCACTTGTGTTGGCTTTCCTTCTTTCCTCAGTGTCTTAATTTTTCTTCGCATATTTTTGGACGTGTTAGTAAAGAGGGTGATTGGATAAGTGAAAAGCTGTGTATTGCATACAATGTAGTTTTGTAGTGAGATGACTTTTATTACTCCCAATGGTGAGATTTGCGCTATACTTTTGATGGAAAGATGAGCTCTTACAGGTGCATTCGGTTCCCTTTATGGTAGTCCTTACTATGAACATGCTTGTCATAATATTGCTTATGCCCAATACACATAGGAGTCCCAAGTGTTTTGGTGCAATCTAGAAAGCTGCTCGTCCTAACTTCTAGTCGCATTTCTATTTTCGTGTTTGTCAAGAGAATGAACTTTGGCACTTATTTTACCACTTGTGAATATCTTGAATGGTTGTTGCAATGAGGCATGGATTGTGCACACTTTAAATGCGACCCTACATCATTACGTCGGTGTCGAGCTCTGCTGCAACATCGCAGCAGTCATAACCGTGATCATTTTAGTCGTCACGTGCAACGTCTCATTCTGCATGCAAGTTTGACCCGCAAACTATAGCAGGAAGGATATTTCACAAGTGATGAGCCTTTCCTTGAACACAGTGGGCACAACACAACGCAATCATTCCAAAACATTTAGGATTTTGAGTGTGCGGTGCACGCTGGGCACAGCAACAGCTCTTTGCTTTCGATCGGAGAAAAAAATATTGGGTGTATCCTGATTCAAAGGAGCCTTTGGACAAGGAAGACCAGAGTTTTCTCGATCTCATCATTTTACACGAAGAAATCCATATGCATCGTATCACTCTGGTGTCAAGGCGAGAAAGACCATCACCATCACCTCTGACGAAGCAAAGTACGGCATCTTTGGATTCGTCATCCCTACGGACAAATTTTTCTGCGTTGAAGCTATCTTTGCATTGGTTAAACACCGAGATTGGCATTTAAATGTTGATGCACTAAGTACCAAAAGAGAAACGTTATTTTGCTTCTTAAAAATTGTTATATTATAACCTCACAAGTCCTGATTTACAATGAAGTTGCGCATTGTTAAATGTGATTTCCATTTTGTTAAGCTTCTTTCTCAATCAGGCTAATGAACTTCTCATGCTAAGTAACCATGCTTTGTGCAAATATTCTCACGGTAAATGATATGAAGTTGGGATGATACGGTTCACTACACATACCAGTAGTGAACAGGTTTCATGCTGATTGTTCCACATTTTCAATTATTAGAAAGGAATTTATATTAAACCGATACTTTCGCGAACAACAACTTGTCCACAGTATTTATTTTCCGATGTAATTCACTACTGTTAATGGTGCATCCATTTCCTTTTCTGACCGCCTCTAAAGGCGGATGTTTCTTGCTTTCTCTATCTTTCTACTTAAATCTGGATTCACATTTCGAGTGTCGTATGTGCTGTGAGGTAAATGCACTCATGTAATTTGCTCAATTTACTGTACTTTGATCTTAGTGCGTCGGCCAAAAGTTACCATCACAAAATGTGGAAGAGTTTGCTCCTTGGGTGGAAATATGAAGTTATGATTAAGAGAAGAATTAAACCTCCAGCTATTGTGAGAAGTAAAATGTGCTTCGGCAGATGCAATACGCCTACCAAGCGTGAAATTAAATAATAAGAAGGACTAGTTAGTCTCACGTAAGAAAGTGAGTGTCCTTTCGAAGAGCATTGACAGGATGGACTTTCTGGTACACAATTATTTAACCATTTTCATAACAAATTAGATGATAATGTTAGCTGTCGGTATCAATCGCTGTGTTTCTTTGTGCAATTTAAGTTCATTTTTTGAGACTTCTGAAAATCGCTTGCAAGATTCAGTCTACCAAATAAAATGGTAGGTCAGAATTTGTTTCAAAACTTTGATATCTATCCACTCCAGGTATTTGTTAATTTTACTACTGTAAGTCTGCTATCAATCGAAGAATCCCGCACAAAATGATATGACTATATATCGTGGGGCTCATAAATGAACTAGTTGACGATGTCAGGTGAAATCACGTGTTCGCAATATCACTTCGTGGAGTTGTTAATGTCATATTAAGAGTGCACTATAGTGTTTTTATTAGTAAACGAGTCAACTCAAGATACATGACGCGGATTTTTCAATCGTTTTTCCATGAAGCCAGGATTTCAAGTTTGTATTGAAGTAATGAAGAAATGCCAGGCAAGTTCGGATTAAAAGGCTTCAAAATTATAAACTTATGCTGCGTGAACAGATGTAAAGCAACATTGGATTAGTTCCGTCTTTCGTTGCCCACATAGGCAGTTAAATGTTGTGTAACGCATTACTCAACGCTGAGAAAAATAGAATGACCATTGAAAATGCAGCTGTTTGGATTAATGCTGTCAGTGATCGAATATGCCTATTTCTTACATCCCATCGAGTTTGGTTGATCAATCACTTGATGGGGAATGGAGTTGACAATTAAGTTGCCACTTGGAGAGGTCAATGCAGATCAGTTGGGTAGCCTGCAACTATGGGGCAGCAGTGGTCTTTAATCCAACTGTGTACTCATCTAAACTGCAACAAGTATACCACGTCCTCTCTCAAATGAAATAGCAGTACGTCGAATAAATGTATCACGTAATAATTTCGTCTGTACTCTAATTGCATGATGATGTGCCACGTGTTATTTCCACCAAAAAGCAATTGTGGAATTCACATGGCTAGAACAGGTGCCGAATAATGTCTCATCATTGTCTGGCTTTCTTACTTCAGCATCCGCGGGCGTCCTGAACAGGATTTGATATTTAGCTTTAAGCCATCTGCGCACTGCCAATATCACAAGTTCATGGACGAGTGGTGCGTTTAAGCGGACAAGGCGGACCCCTTAATTTAGGTGTGATCGTCCTAACTTAGAAAACAAATATGGAGGCACTTCCATTTCCTAAAACCAAGGCTCCCAAGTACAAGGTGAAAAGGAGTAGGAGCATTGGGAGACTCCCGCTGATATCATTTCCTGTGCTTTTATCATTTTGAGTATTTAATTGCAAGCCAATACCCTCAATATTTAGACAGGTAATGAGCGATATGTCCTTGCAGTATGCGCAATCCTTTGGGATCATTTGCGATTTCGACGCAGGAGCTATGTACCTCAAAGCAATGCAGAAGCGTTCGATGCTGAACTGAGCTGACTAGCGGTCTTTACAAAAGCGATCACGATTTTGTGAGTAACTTCATCAAGTGGCGAAGTTTGCGTTGATCACTCCTCCCCAGACTCGAAATCCCAACAAGGCTGTATAAATTGAATCATTCAGGCAGGCTTGAAAGCCTTTGAAATCCGAAGCTTATCTTGTGTCCATCGCAAGCAGTGCCGAGTTGGGCTCCCTTCTAAAGATTTATTTGATCTACAGCACTCTGCTCGGCAGACCGCGTTCTATCGTACACGCTGGTCATTTTTGCACTGCTAGATTTTGATGACCTAATATGCCCTGCGAACCGAAGTGCATCATGGCTCGCGTTGGTGATTGAAGGTGAGATCAGTGATTTTTTA